CCCCAGGTTCATCTGCTAGTCTCTGCTTTACAGTAGCATACTGGACAAATCTGTTTAGCTCTTGGATTTTATTTCTACTTATTTTCTAAGGTTACAGATCTTCCCTAAGATTCCTTAGTTTAAGATAAAACCTATGGTTATTAGCATAATATTATTTTTCTTACTATGTACCTATACCCATATTATAAGCAGTAAACTTGGAACTCCAAATTACTGTAATCATGTTGATGTCTTCATGGACACATCGTGAGGGGGAAACCTAGACACATCTTATTGTTATTTTTCCCATAATTTTTATTGGTACGTTATAATTGTACACATGCTGGAACTCATTGTTACAGGTCCATACGTGCATCCAATATTCACAGTATAATTTGGCCAATATCGCTCACTAGTATTTCCCTCCCGCCCCACTCATACACCCTTTTCCTCTACTGCACAGGTCTCCGTTTTCTTTTCATGAGATCTCCCCTTCCCCACTTTTCTTTCCCCCTTTTCCTGTCTCGCTTCCAAGTGAGAGAGAACATACAACCCTTCACTTTCTGAGTTTGGCTTATTTGCTTAACATAATGTTCTCAAGTTCCTTCCATTTTCCTGCATACGACATAATTTCATTCTCCTTTATGGCTGAATAAAATTCCATTGTGAATATGTACCATATTTTCTGTATTCATTCACCCGCTGACAGACGCATAGGCTGGTTCCATAGTTTGGTTATTGTGAATTCTGCTGCTATAAACATGGGCGTGCATGTATCACTGTAGTGTGCTGACTTTGATTCTTTAGAATAAACACCAAGGAGTGGTATCACTGGGTCCTATGTTGGTTCCACGCCTTGTCTTTTGAGGAACTTCAAAACTGATTTCCATGGCGATTGTATTAATTAATTGTAGTATGACTCCACCAACAGTGCAGAAGTGTTCGTTTTCCTCCACATTCTCTCCAGCAGGCATTTGCATTGTTTGTATTTTTGATGGCTGCCATTCTGACTGGAGTGAGTTGAAATCTCAGTGTAGTTTTGATTTGCATTTCAACAATGTTGAATATTTTTTCATGTATGTATTGGCTCTTTGTATTTCTTATTTTGAGAAATTCTGTTTAATCCATGTGCCCATTTATTAATGGGGTTATTTGTTCCATGGTGTGAAGTTTTTGGAGCTCTTTACCTGTTCTAATCCTCTGTCAGAAGAGTTGCTTCCCACTCACATTCCTAATTGTTTCCTTTGCTGTGCAGAAACTTTTTAATTTGATGCTGTCTTATTTATTTATTAACTCTTGGCATTATTTCCTGAGTTTCAGGCTCCTATTGAGAAAATCATATGATGGAGTGTTGACCCTACATTTTCTTCTAGGAATTGCATCGTTTCTGATCCAATCCCAAGGTCTTTGATCCATTTTGAGCTGACTTTTGTGCAGGATGTGAGATAAGAGCCTAGTTTCATTCTTCTGCATATAAATAACCAGTTTTTCCCAACACCATTTGTTTAAAAGGCTGTCTTTTCTCCATGGTATATTTTTGGCACCTTTGTCAAGGATTAGATGACTGTAGATGTGTTTGTCTCATGCCTTCTATTCTGTACCATTGGTCTATGTGTCTATTTTTATGTCAGCACCATGCAGCTTTTGTCATTATAGTTCTGTAGTATAATTTGAAGTCAGATATTTTGATTCCTCCAGCATTGCTTTTTTATTTGTTTGATTTTTTTCTCTTTTTCAGTACCAGGGAATTGAACCCAGGGGCACTTAACCACTGAGCCAGATCCCCTTCCCTTTTTTATATTTTATTAGAGACAGGGTCTCACTGAGTTGCTTAGGGCCTCGCTAAGTTGCTGAGGCTGGCTTTGAACTCACAATCCCTCTGCCTCTGCCTCCTGAGTCTCTGGGATTACAATGTGCACCAGCATGCTTCCAGCATTGTTTTTTTGGCTAATTACTTTGCTTATTCTGGGTCTTTTATTCTTCCAAATGAATTTTAGGACTGTTTTTTTTCCCCTAGTTCTATGAAGAATGTCATTAGTATTTTGATGCAGATTGCATTGAACCTAGAAATGTTTTAGAGGGACAATGCCCCTAATTATTCTTAGTACAAAATGGTTAAACTACAAGAAATATCAAATATTATCAGAATTCACGGAAACTATTACCAGGCCGCTGAGACTATGAATTGATTCAACCTTTTTGGAAAATGGCTTGGTATTTTCTACTAAGCTTGAAAATGTGCACATTTATCATCGAGCAATTCTATTCCCAAGTATACCCAAAATAGAATTAGATAAAGATCTCTGAAGCAGCATTATTAATCATGGTCTAGCACTAGAAAAAACTCCATTGTCCATCAACATAAATATGGATGGGTAAACGCTGGTCTATCCATAAAATGGAATACCATGTAACAATGAAAATGATAAACTATAGCTATCGGCTTCAACAGAGATGAATTTCATGAACATGAGGCTGAGTTGAAAGCCAACACAAAAGAACACACATACTGTCAGCTCTGTTTATACCAAATTCAAAATAGAAAAAAGTGATTATATAAGAATGCAGACTTAGAGGGGTAACGTTTGCAGAAAAGCAAGGAAGAGAAGACCAGAAGTCAGGGTAGTTACCTTTCAGCAGACCCACCCCTGATGGAAAATTTAGGCAGGAAATTGCCACATTTATTAATGGTGTACCCATAAATATGCTCTTGGTACTATTGGATCATATAGAAATTAAAACCCTGTACTTGGTATTATATGCAATTAAATTTTTCTTTTCATTTTCATTTCATGTTTTTTTTCTGATTTCTATCATGAGCCATAAAATAAAATATTAATATCTGATGTTCTTCCATATAATAAAATTTCAGGATTTACTGGAGCATTAACCAAAAATAAATAAATAAACGTGCAACTTCAGGTAAAAGTACAAATGGAGAACTGCATATTATGGGCCTAAATATTTAAGAATTATCACTCATGCTAAGAAGCTGTTAAATAAAAGTGCTCCCTCCTCCTACCTGGACACTCACCTCTTCAGGGCACCTGGAAGGCCAGGTTGGGCCTCAGAACTCTTGGATCCCTTGGAGGTTCTTGCTGGAGTTTGTGACACAAGCAGTAATGTCCTTCAGGCCCAGGAATCCACCTTCACGTCCCATCCTACACCCCAAGGAAAATGTCCATGAAGACTTGGAAGTGGGTTTAGATCCATTTGAAGAGAGAACTCCCATATCCCAGTACTTGGTGCATATCTACAGAGGGAGATATGGGGTTCAGGGGCGCACAGACTCCTCTCCCATGGAGAAGGTACGTGGCTGACAGACGGCCAGAAGGTCCTAAGTCCAAGGCCTCAGCCAGGGTCCCCCTGGCATGGAGCTAAAGGCCTTGAAGGGAAAGAGAGAGATCGTATTGGAGGGAGCACTCAGAAAGCTTCTGGGGTCCAGAAGAAATCTGTGTCCTCACCTGGGTGGCAGCTACACTTAGAGCATTTAGAGCCGTTTCTCAATGCATGTTATATTTCCCAGGAAATAATTAATGAAATATATAAATTGTGCAAATGCCTGTGTGTGTGTGTGCACGCGTGCATGCACACCTGGGTGTTTCTTGGTGCTGTAGAAGATAGGATCCACAAACCCAAATAAGTGCACTTACAAGTGCAGACATCTCAGACATTAAACTGCTTCCTGGTATGAGCACCTAGGGACAATGGACAGAGTGCTGGCTGGTGACAGCTACCCTCCTGCTGGTCCTCTGCTCCATCTGGGGTGAAGATGCTTGGGTAATTGTGCATGAATTCAGGCAGAGCAAATGAGTCATGGGCCCATGTCCTCTTGCCACTGAAAGGGCCTCAGAGGAAAATTCCTCTCCCTCCTCTTTGCCAAGATTATAAATACTATGTTTACCAAACCAAAATTACAGGAGACTCTTCCCATCTAGTAGAAGCAAAGGGAGAGCAACTCCCAATTACCCTCTGTTTGGAATGCAGTTCTAAGAAGGCTTCTTTTCCTTCTCATAAGGGCAGCTGGGTGGGTTCCTGAAACAGTTGGCTGAGCATCTACTATGTGCCAGACATGGTCCTTATTTTTCTGCTCCACCACCCACTTGGTTTTGATTTTTCATTCTTGATAGGAAAATACTATTTTTACAAAGATTCGGATTACCCATATTCAAAAGGATTTCCATGTATCCCAAGTGGTTTAAAAATCAGGTTCATATATTCTAAGAATATACATTTCAATAATAGTTCATAAATTCACACACACACACACCCCACTTCAAAACTGTGAGAAGATGAAATGGAAAGTAAAAATGGGCCAGTACAAGCCCACCAAAAGTCCAGTCGATTTTTCTTCTAAAAAAATAAAAAATAAGTTCTGGGCTTTCCACTTAAGCTATTTGAAAGTCACATTTCCAAAACACCAGTTTTCCTCCTTTCTGGAAACCATAAAAGCATATGATTCAAGTGACCTTGTGACTTGTGAGAGGTAGAATCAGGCACATTTGGTGTCTTCAAACTGATAAAAGCAGCAACATATTAAATTGGATTAAAGGGGCTAATGAGGCAGCAGGGACGAGAACAAGCTAAATCAATGACTAAAGCTATAGGTGGCAGCCAATGAGGGATCCCTCCTACCTGCACTAGTGATGAGGAACATCTGGAAGCACTCACCCCTCACTCAAGACTCAACCGAATGTCAACCATCTCCCTCTGTGCTGTAACTGAACCCATTGTATAATTGACCAGAGTAACGGTAGCATTTCATGGCGCTGTGTTTCTTTATTTTGCCCAACTTGACTCTGGGCTCTGTGAAAACAGGACCATACTTGATGCATCTTTGAAGCTGAAGCTCACATAGCCAAAGCGCCAACATGGTTTCCATATTGAATGGATGATGGGTTCCATTCATGAGTCTACGGATTTGGCTTTCATGACTGCTATGATGCAATCCTGAAATGACGAAAGGGTCTTTAACCCTTCCAGAGTTCACTCACCTTCCCCTTCCTAAATTCTGTTTTCAGGTTCGGTGAGCTGTGAGTTCCATAACATGAGACCCTGGCAGGAGCACATCACGTGTTCTTCCAGCAGAGTTATGAAAAGGAGGAAGCTGGCCAACAGACAGATACACTGGAATTGTCCTCCTTGAGTTCCAGAACTCCATCATCCCTTGGGGGAAAATGTGGTCAAGGGTGAGTAGGGGCAGAGAAAGCATACATTTTCTGACCCCCCTTTTCTCTCGATGTGGACTAATTCTTCTAAAACAACAATATGAATGGTGTTCCATTGTCATATGAGATATGCAACTAATATTTTGGGGCGAAAAGTACATTAATTTTAGGCTGCGAGATTTTGCATTTGGTGAATTTTTAACATGGATAGGCTGATGGTCACAGGGAATCCCATTTCACCCACGAATCTCTGGGGAAGGCATCTTCTGGGATACTGGTAGCATATTACCCTTAGTACAGCCTGTGCCTGAGTGAGTCTGGAGCTATGCAGAGGCTGATCACCCAAATAAGGATTAGCCTGTCCTTGAGGCCTCATTTTTCTGCCAATAACCTTAAGCCACTGGACTTCCATTTTACCACTCCACAAGAAAATTGACTTGGCCTGAGACAGAAGTTAGGGTTAGGAATAGTCAATTCCCCCATGTAACTAAGGTTTCCTAAAGATTTTATGAAAATTAAATGGAAAAATACATGTAATTGGATCTATTAAATGGTTTCCAAGGGAGGCAGGCATCACGGCCTGATGAAGTAGCATTGGGAATCATGGAGGTCTGGATTTATGTCCTTTCTCTTACACTTGGTAGTAGGGTTGGCCATGACCCAGTTACTTAACCCTTTTGAATCTGTTTCTGCATTTATAAAATGGTGATAGGAAGATGGTTTAGAGGAGGAAATGAGAAAATGTACTTAAAGTAATGCAGTCAAAAGAAAAAGTTTAATTCCTGTATGCATTGAGATCAATCATCCATTGTATGTATCACAGAGAGAAACAACCATCAATTACACACACACACACACACACACACACACACACAAACACCCAATTAACCCAGTAAAAAAAAAAAAAAAAAAAAATTAAAGTACTGAGAAGCCATGTCAATCCGGAGAAGGCTCTATCTTGCAGGGAAAAGGCTGTAAGTCAATATAATGATAAATATTTTCTTTAAACATTTTGATAAACAAGTAAAAGATTCCCCTGGAATTAACTTTTTTTTAAAGTTCAATTCTCATATTCATTGTGATGTTTTAAGGTAAAATAATTGATCTCTTAAAAATCTCCTTCGGTCCTGGGATTCTGGGAAAAAATCTGTCACAGAATTGGAAGCTTCAGAGGTTTCAATCAAACCAAATCACTAATTCAAAGTGGAATTAATGACATTGATCTGTGACTCCCCAAGCCATTCAGCAAGAATATTCATTTCTTTGTGTCTCTAGTGAGACAAAATCATCTCTTCTCAGCCAGCTTTGCAAAACAGACAAAAAACAGAACCCAAAAAGTCTTCTCTGCCGGAAGCCAGCGTTGCATTCCGTCTGAGACCCCGCACTGAACACTAAGTTATTTCGAACACGTGTTGTTCTCAACTTTTGGTCCTGAAGATCTAAAAACCAGACAACTCCACCTCCTGAAATCTTCAGTGAGCTTTAGAATTATCTGTGAGCAGAGTGGAAATCTCCCTTGAGATCTGTAATTTCGGGACTTCTGCATATTTTCCCCTCATCATTGAACTTCATTTCCGTGTACACACACACACACACACACACACACACACACCACACCCTAGTAGGCTAAATAGAATGCAAATATCTGGCAGCTGTCATTATCACCTAATGAACAAGGATATTTTTTTATTCCTTGTCATTGTGCCTCCTAAGGATATATCTCTGATGTTTGGGGGGTAGGAGCAGCATATAGCTCAAGGACACAGAATCGAAGCCATACTGCTTGACTCAAATGCCAGCCCTGAACAAGGCACTTAACTTCTCTGGGCCTCAGTTTCTTTACCCATAAAATGAGTATAAGAATAGCACCCACTTTAAGTGGTGATGATTAAATATGTAAATTTTTTAGAATGTAATCCCCACCTACTAAGCCCTCCATCTATCCTTCTGATGACACCCTGAGTTCTATAAGAAGCACATGAGAAGTGCAGTCGGGGGTTGGGGCACAGCTCCTGGTAGAGCGCTTGCCTCTCATGTATAAGGTCCTGGGTTCCGTCCCTGGCAGCTCACAGAACTCACTAACAGGAAAAGACAGGAGAAGCAGGGTGTAGGGAAAGCCTGGTGGGAGACAGGCCTGGGAACCTGGTGCAGGGCTGCAGGTTACACTCGGTGGCTCTCCTGAGCTTCCTTAAGCTGCAGGTTCCTGGTTCCAGAGCAACACTGAAGATCCGCAGGTGTGGGCACTGTCAGGAATGATCCTTGGGGAAAAGTGCTTAGCTCATAAATTCTCTTAAAATCAAGCTCCCTGAAAAAAACCCTCAGAAAATAAAAGCAAGCCCTAGGCCACTGTATAAATACAAGCAGGAGCAGAAGCGGGAAAGTGGCCCCCACACCTGCGGGGCCTCCTGAGGGCTGCAGAGGGGCGAGGCAGCCCACCGCTCCCACCTGACTTGTTTGGTTTTGCCCATTTCCAGGGAGCGGTGGTTAAACATTGGCCAGGGCTGCACTGGCCGGGGTGGAGAGGCTGCCTGGAGAGCCTGAAGGCTTTGAAGAAGAATCTTTTCAACTGCAAACCTGTTTCTTTGGCATTCTTACCCTTTCCCCTCCTCCTAGGGCAGGAAGCTGGCAGTTGGGCATTCTGTGTTTTGGTTTATCTGGAAAAAAAAAAAAAAAAAAAGAAAAAAACAGCCAAATTGAACTCTTGCTTCACAGAGGACCAAAAAAGTGTTGACTGAGATTTTGAAAATTTTACCCTCCCCGCCCACGAAATACAAGTTAAACACGGGTCCAGGTAGTCATCTACACTGTGAATTTACATCTTCCGTAGGTTTGTGGTCAGTGTCCTAAAAGGGAGGTGCCGTGAAGAGGGGTAATTCACAGATCCCCTAACCTCCCCTTGAAAATATGATTATTCTGATATCTTTTAAGGAATATGAAAACTCCACTTGGTGAAAATCATCACTGTGCATCATCATATTTAAAAGATAGTTTAACTTGTTCAGATTTCTAGGTGGTTCCTTAAGAGTAAAGATGAAAGAGTGGGGATCAAATGAAGAAGCACCCCTAAACCTGCCTGTATTTGTGTGCTCCGTACCGCAGCCTGGGTGGCTTGCACAACAGAAATCTATTTTCTCGCGGTTCTGGAGGCTGGAAGGCCAGGACCAAGGTGTTGGCAGGGTTATTTTCTCCTGAGGCCTCTCTCCACGGCTTTTAGATGCCATCTTGTCCCTGGTCTTCATGAGTTTTCCTGTCTGCCTGTGGCTGGGTTCTGATCTCTTTTCAGAAGGACACTAGTGATCTGGATGAGAGCCCAGCCTCATGGCCTCACTTTAGCTTGATTACTTCTGTAAAGACCTTGTCTCCAAATAAAGCCTCATTGTAAGGTGGCACGGGTGCAGACTTCAGCATGCAAACCGAAGGACATGGCCAATTCAGCCCGTCCCTCTGCCTAAACATGAGCCTAATGTATCCACAAGGGCAACTCGATTCAGTAACATCCCAGGTCACGTTCTGGGATAGAGACAGGAATGCAGGTGTTTTATGAAAAGTCCTCACTGTCAAGACAGCAAAATAAGCCGGATTAAACAAAGAGCAATGTCAACATTAAAATAAAGACCACAGCTAATCACAAGGGCCCTCTGGAGCTGAATGGTCCTTCAAGTTGTCCAGAATTGATATCAGGGGGCTGAGACATTATGCCCTACCTGGACCAGAAGGTGGGTGGGTGCAGCCCCAGGAGGAGGCACGAGGTACATGAAGCCGTTCTCCTCCTCAGTCGGGGAATCTCTGTGGGTTGCTAGTTGCCAGCCCTACAGTGGCTGGCAGAGGGAACAGCTGCTCAGCCTGAAGTGGGGTCTCTGGTTGGCGCATCCCAGGTCCACTACAAGTAGGAAGTTTACCTACCCCCCGTGAATTTTCCCCGGGTGAAACATTATCTTCTTCAGAAATTTTCATAGCCTAAGGAATGAGAACAAATATTTGCAAATCAAACAGCTAATAAATGTTTAATATCCACAATTTGCAAGTACTCACACAACTCAGTAGCAAGAAAATAGCCTGAATTTTAAGATGGGCAAAATAGCTAAGAAAGACATCTCTCAAAAGAAGGCACTAGAGATGGTCAACAGGTGTATGAAAAGATGCTCAACGCCACTAATCATCAGGGAAATGCAAATTAGAGCCATCACGGGATATCACCCCACACCTGTTAGGAAGGGTTTTAGTCAAAAGATAGATGTGTGGGCGAGAATGTGCAGACAAGGGGCCCCTTCCCCGCACTATTAGTGGGAAAGTTAACGGGTACAGCCATTACGGAAAACTATGGAGGTTCCCCAAAAAAGTAAAAATGGAACTGCCACCACATGACCCAGAAACTCACTTCTGGGTATATATCCAAAGGAATTGAAATCTGTAGGTTAAAGAGATGTCTGTGCACCCATGTTCAGAGCAGCATTATCCGCAATTTAAACCATCTATGTGTCTGTGGATCCAGGAATAGATGAAGAAACTGTGGTATATATATATACATACACATGCATAGGGTAGAATACTATTCAGCCTTTTTTAAAAAAGGATATATATATATATATATATATATATATATATATATATATATATATCAAAAGGCCAACATAAAATCATGTATAAACCTTACATGTACACAATTTTTATTTGCCAGTTATGCCTCAATAAAGCTGGAAGAAATTTCTTGTAAAGTCACTCAGTAGATGAGTGTAACCTATCACGAATCCTAAAATATTTGGCCTGACACCGGGCACACAGAAGAGTGGCCAGGTGGCAGGTCAGGCCACGTGGCTTAGTAGGAAATGTGTATGCTGTGGATTCAAAGAGAGTTGGATGCAAATCTCTGCCCTGCTCTTTTGTAATATTGCATACTCTCTTTGAACTTCTAGTTTCTCTTTTGGACGTCCATGTCCCTGGCAGCATTATCCACAATTTCCAGTTATCCTTATCTTTTGCAAAAGAAAGATAATCCCAAGTTTGTTGGACTGTTACAAGAT